TAGGGAAAGTGTTATTTAGTAATTTAAATTATGTACATTAGAGGTTTTACTTCATTACAGTTTAATTTCTGAAAAAGATTCTTGAATCAAATTGAAACACACATTAAGGTATCAGTTATCTGTAAGATAAAACTGTCTCTTTTGCACTTTCCATTGTATTTAATGAAATCATGCATTTTCTCACAGAAACTAATAATCTATAGTTAATTTATGCAAAGCATACTTTGGAGTTTGGTAATAATAGGTTAAAAGAAATCCTTTGAAACTGAAATCTCAAAGGATTAAATTAGACTGTAAAATGAGACATTTAACTAGATTTTTATAGGCTGATTATTGTTTTGAGTTAGGACTTGATTTGAAAACAAAAGTGTCTGGAGTTTATCCAAATATCAGTCTTTGTTTTCTAGTCTGACCAATTTCAGGTTCAATTTTTGGGTGTTTTTTTTTTAAGTAAGTTTTGACTGGGTCAATTTGTCAGAACCTTTTCTTTGTTACATGAATATACCTAAATACTTCAAATATGCTGCTGCGTGTACTAGTGGTTGCATATGTATGAAGAGACCTGCATACTCCTACTAGACTTTTTCCAAATAATTTCTGCTACATAGATCTTATTAGGTTTATAATGTTTTAAATCAAAAAATCAGATCACAGTTATTAAAAAGGAAAAATTGTAAAATTTTTTATGTTTCCTCCTTGCTTGTTTCTTCAGACTGTTTGTAGCTGAACCACAAGATAAGCAAGGTTCAGTAATAATGGTTGTGCATATAAGAGCATTTTTCAAAATCTTCTAGTTTTAGAAAGGCTTGTGATCTGCATGCAATTTCTTGGCTTATGTGATTCATAGGCCCTTCTAGTTCAGTTTTGGAGGAAGCTGTAGCTCCTTAGAAGTTTCAGTGCATTGATTGCATGCTTGCATGCAGAGGAATAGAGTTTATTTTGTAAAGGACTACATTTAACGTAAATGTAAATGTGTTTCTGAGTGGGGGTTGTTTATTTGGTTTGGGGGTTTGTTTTGGCTTTTTTTAAAGTGAATTTTTTCTTCTATTGTTTTCTTCTTTTCTGTGTTTTGAAATAGGAAGAAAAGGGGAGGTGGTCAGCTGATAAGCTTTACACAAACTCTTATTAGATGCAGAAGGAAAACTTAATTTTGTGATATTTTTTATAAATTTACATACAGTTCTGGTAACATTTCACAAGAGTTTCTTTTCATTGACCAATCTCTTAAAAAGATCTTTCAAATGTATCTTAAGTAGTGTTTCTAAGGGTGTTCTGACTTAGTAATATTTTATGTGTGGGCGTTTATCATTGCAGTGGCTCTTCTGGCTGGTATTTATCTGCTGCATTGTTTCATGTGGCCTTTTGAAACTAAGCTAGAAAGTCTTACAGCCTTTATCATGCACTGTTGCAATATAAATAGATATTTGCATGGAACACTTACATGTCTTGGTTTTTCTTCTTGTTGTGAAAAGCGTATTTGCAGAATAGGGCACTTACTATTTTTATAAAGAGCAAAGAACATTCTAGCAGAAATGCGTAATAAAGCTGTTTATACAGAAGAACTTTCTGTGGTCCATATTGTTCAGGGCTGTTCAGGGTTTTCAGTGCTTTTACAGGTGTTTGAAAACTAGTAGATTAGTTTTTCCTGGCTGAATTCCACATCAAGAGTAAATTTCTGTACACATAGTTAAGCTCCCTTGTGTTAGTCAGTTACATGAAGAAAAATAGACCTTGGAAAGGTTACATCAAAGGTCAGGGAATTTCTATACTTTTAGCTAATGACAATGCATTAAATAAGATTGGGTTGTGTTGTGATATTTTTGCTTTTTAATTAACTTGTGTTCTGTGGATATACCTAACGTTATTCAGTCACATAAAATATATAAACTCTGTTGTGTTATCTGTTCAAGTTTCAACCATTCCATTAATTGTTGCTGTATAGTGTCTTGCCACAGCAGTTTAGTGTTACCTAAAGTTTCCATTATGAAATACATTGCCTGCAGTTTATACTTTCACTGTAAGAACGTATTTTAAGATTATTTGGAAGAAAGGCTCAAAACTATTTTGAGGAAAAGTTATTTTACAAAAGTATCTTCTTAATTTCTGCCTTTTAATTTGGCACAATCTACTATATTAAAGTAGTAGGGCATATTTTGAGTGTATAAGAAGAATTGTAAAATATTTGTAGACTCTTGCAGATTTCATTTAAATAGATCCATAATCTGAGCTTTATGTACTGCTTTTGCATTGAGTAAATAGGATGAATTACACAGATGTTCCATATCCAAGACCTTGCATGGCAGCAGAAATGGCTGGGTTGAGCTTCTGGCAGTCATTAGTGTATGTCAACTTGAACCCTATTCAGTTATCAAGAAAAAAAACTGAACTGTCTAAGTGGCAATGAAGGGAGTCAGGAAAACAAGAAATAGTGGTGCCTTTAAAAAAATGCAATAGTACTTCAATGTTAGTATTTCATAGAAAACAAAATATTTAAGCAGTTGACTGTTACTTGTCTTCTTTGTTAACATCCCTTCTGCCTTGCTGATAGTAAAATCCTAGAGCTTTCAGAGTATCAATCACTTATTCAAGGTTCTACAAATTCCTCAATTCCTCTTATCTTTGGACACTGCAGTAGCACACCTTGCAGGGTAATTGCTGTCGAAGGGTGACTTGCTTAAGAATGGACTAGGTCAGAGACAGTCTCGCCCTATTTCCAACAATGACCAAAAGCAAGAGTTTAATGAAGGTTATAGCAACAGTCCTCTTCCAGTGAAACTTTACCAGAAGTAAAATGTGATGTGTCTGTGATCTTACTCTCTCTTGTCTCTTTCTTCCTTCTTCCTTCTCTCCCACACCCTGCAGTCTTTAGATGACCTTTCAAATGTCCCTTCTGATGAGACAGTTCAACTCCATGCATACATCTCAGATACTGGTAAGTGAATCTGTTATGATGGCTGCTTACATATTTTCCACCTTTTTTTTAATATTATAGGCCCTTGGAATCCTAATCTTTTCTTTTTTTTTTTTTTTTTAAACCTCATAAAACATTTGAATGCATATTTCCCATGGAGTCCTTGTAATGGAAATCCTTACAGAATTGTAAGGTTGTAGACTATCTAGGCTTAAATTGTGATTTAATTTTTGTTGTTTATGGTATTATTATTTTTCCTATTTCTGATGAATCATTCATTAAACTGAAAATTGAATAGCATTTATTTTAACAATTGTTTGAAGAACAGATTCTGAAAGCCATCTCTTCTTTTTCTAGTCACATAATTCTTGTCTGTTTACTTCTCATACTATAATATTTTCCACTGGATTTTGTACTTCCTTAATGACTTAGCTTAATTTAAGGTAGTGACTTCAGTCTTCATGGCAGTAATATTTTTTATTGTCTTTTGAAAAAATTTACCTAGTAATAAATTTTTTAAAAGTTATTACCTGAGAGTAAATAACAAAAGCTTCTCAGATATGATTTGCAAATACTCTAGTTAGATGAGATTGCACTGGATAATTAAATTGTGAACTGATCTTCAGATACTTTTTTTGATGGATTTTACTGTGCGATGGACTTGTAAATCTATGCACTTATACAGCAGACACTTGAGCTGTGAGCAAGATTTGACATTATAATTAAACTCATACTCAGCCTTGTGTGAGAGCATGGTGCAGTCCAGTCTTGTGTAGTCAGCCCTCAGAGAAAGGCAAAAACATTTTAAAATTTAAGAATTACAATGTTGCTTTTTTATTAAAATTTTCTGTGATACTTTTTTTTCTGCATTAGACTTAAAAGTTTAATTGTTTTGATCTAAGAGTAAAGGTGAACTTAGAACCACACAAGTTACGCTAAATTTATAATCTTGATGGCAAAAGCGTATTGATAACTGTCAGCGTGACTCAGTGAATCCATAATATTCCAGCTGAACCAGGCGATGTGTACAGGTTCATATTGTAAGATAGGATTAAACTGGGTGTCTTCTTCCTCTTCACCTCATGCTTGAACAAGAAATACAAGTCCCCATTTTCTGGATGCTCCAGGCAGTAGTGTCTGTATGCAGGCTCCTTTCCTCTGTCCATTACTACCCCTTATTTTGCTTGTGGGGTGTATGCACAATCTTCTCCATAACCTTTGAGGATTCACCTTGCTTTGTGTTGTGAAATAAATGCTGATTGAGAAGCTCTGACAACTTTGTGCCACTACCGTCCTGAAGTGGTACTCCTAAGGTGCAACTTAGCAGTGCCCCTGAGATGTGGTCTGGTGGTCAACATAAGTTTTGACTACTGGACTTGCTCAGTATCTGTGGGGCTAGGGTTTCCTGGCTCCATTCTCTGAGAAGTCTTTTGGCAGCATCCTGACCACCAGTTCTTTTATCTTGGGGTTCAGCACTCAACGTTTTTCTTTTAGAGAGTAGATGGCAAAGGAAAGATCCTCTGTGCCCACTGTGCCCCTCGCTATTGATTAATTCTTACACTGTCAGCAGCAGCCCCTACCCTAGAAGTGCTCCCTACCCTAAGTGCTGCTTAGACGTTGGCATTGTATTTAAGAGAAGTCAAGGCTGGAAGCACAACAGCGGCAGGAGCCAGTGATTTGTCAGTGAAAATGTATTTTATGAAGCATGGGTGCATTGAAAAACTCACAGAACTTGATTAAAAGCTATTTTCAGCTAGCCACTGGAAAATTATGGTTACCAGGTATTGGCTCAATACTTAGAGATACAGCATGTTACTAACTTAAACAGTATGCAGTGTAAACAGTATCAGTTCTAGGTTATTTTGTAGATTAAATGGAAGTTTTTGAAACAAACTATACTGGGAGAATTCTGATGGAGTAATGACAAAGAGAACTTACTTATTCTGTGTAGAACAAAAAGATGTCTGCTTCTATTTAAGATAGCTATCTGTGTTCTTTCCATTTATAAATTGAATTCTCCATAAAATGTCTGTGTGCGCATGTGTGTACACATACATAGTGTGTTATATATATGCACACACATTCAGAATACTGACATACGTGTGTGTATATAGATTCTGTTGACTTAAATAGTGTGGAGGGGTAGTTTTTACTTTACAGTTAATAATAAAATACTAGTGTTAATAACAAAACCAAATGCTTACAGCTTGCTAGCACTGCCTTGTATTCACAGATTTTTTGATGGACAAGCTTTTCCAATATTATTAGAGTACTTTGCAGACTGGAATTTCTTCTGTTTTCAGTTATCTTTCACCCCTATCTTGAGTTCTTCAGATTAAAACTATTTTTTTTAAAGATCTATTCGCTATTCTTAAAAGTTGAAACCTTTTCTGTTCTTTATTTATGTTTTGCATGTCAGTGAAACTTTTCTAACTTTAAGGCTGCTTAATCTTGCTATATAAGTTTGCATAAGTTTCTGGAGTGTACCACATACAGTGTTTAGAATAAAGAGATGGCTTACTCTTCTGCTTGCCTGTCCATTTTTGTCTCTCAAGTCTGTCATTCCAGACATTTCTTCACTTCACATTTGTGTCCTTTCGTCTTCCTTCTTTCTGTTTGTTCCCTTTTTTATTTTGTTTTTAACCTGCTAGTCTATGCTGACTATGACCCATATGCTGTGGCAGGAGTGTGTAATGACCACGGCAAGACGTATGCACTGTATGCTATCACAGTCCATCGGCGAAACCAAAACAGCGAAGAGACATGGAAGACATATCGACGCTACAGTGACTTCCATGACTTCCACATGAGGATCACTGAGCAGGTGATTAATCTCAAAAATCTTTAAGGTTTCTTTGAAAGGTGCTTTTTCCTGGTATGGCATGAGTATTGGCTTTCCCAAAAGTGATTTAAGATGTTACAGCACTGTTTTTTTTCATTAAAGTGTACTTTTTTTACAATTTATATCATACGTTATTTCTACTGAGCAATTTACAGGTGTACATTTATATAGTTTAGTACCTGATGGCTATATAATTGCCCTAATAAAAGGAAATGGAACTTAAAAAGGTTTTCCGTCCACCTCCACCTTTTGCTTAATTTTACTATTAAAAGTTTGCATGGAAGTGCTGTTGGTCTCAAACAGTGGTGTATTTAATTTGTTATATTTGTCACAGAGATCAAGAAATAAAAACTGAGCTTTGGAAATAGGTATTTAGGTTTTTGAATTAAATGTTAAGGATTGGTGGGGTCTCAAAAGGGACTGCTGTTGGCAGTTCACTGTACTGCTAGAAAATCTGCCTTTTATTACTGTACTTGTATTTTCAGACTCTTAACTGTCCTAAAACGAAGAAAAAATAGTGACTTGTAATTCACCAGCTGGTACAAAATAGAACCTGCTTATACGAAAAAGTGTTGAAAATGCAGTTCTTTTAAGAGGAGGGTGATATGCTTTTAAACCAAGCCTTTGGAGAAGTCAGATTTGGCTGCATAACCTTTGAACTAGTCAGAAGTGTTGGATGATATCTCGCTACTCTTATTAATAGAGAGGCAGAGAGAAGAAATTCTGTGTGGGTAGGTTAGCATTGTAAAGTCACAGCAGCAGTAAAATTTCAAAAGGCTTTATCAACAAAGCAAACATTCTATTGAATATTTGTATTAATTATAAACAAAGTCTGACTTTCCTTTGAATTCCTGATTGTCTTAGTGTGCCTTCAATACATTTGAAATACCAATTTTTATACTCCTCTTCAAATTGATTTTTTTTTTTAATTAAGTTACAGTTTTGAAGAATCCCTGACCTGTTGAAACATGAACAGGTTCAGATCTTGTAGTGAATTAATGTTCTTCTGATATGGAGCAGTTATTTAAAACTGATCTACCAGTAAATTACTAGAAAACAAATGGCAGAAGCAAGAACTTTCACGATATAAAAGCACAGAAATTTCTTGTTGCTAAATCTGATTTCCTTGAATTTACAGAAAATGGAAATGTTATCCTAGAATGCTGAGATTGCAAAAAGTAAAGAAAATTCCTGTGCTTCGTTGTAGCATGTCAGAAACTCCCAGCAGTTTTGTTTTGACAATAAAATAGACTTTCTTACTGGCTTTAGAAGCACAGGAATGTACTGATACACTGAACACCTTGCTTGTGTGCTTGTCTGAGACATTTTTATTGATATGTTAAAGTTTAGAATCTTTTAAATAAAATTAATACGGGGGGCAGGGATTCTTGTTTATGTTTTTCAGAGAAAATAGGTACTTGATCCAAAATGGAATTGAAGTTAGCTATATATAGGATCTGTGTGAGCTTTTTCCTTCAAGTACTAAATAGATTCACAGCAGTTTCTTTAGTCAGTAATGTAATAAATGCCATTTGAGGTAGATATCTATATTTAAGTTAGCTATTCTTTGCTTACATTGCTTCTGTTTAGATACAAGTATCCAAATAAAAACTAGACCATCTTCCGTTCAGTAATTTTCCCAGTGACCCATTTGCAAGGGAATGGGATTTGTAAGGTTGGAAAGAGTTATTCTTTGGTGCCTCCTGCAGGCCGTAAGCTTTGTGACAGTCCAAAGTTCTTAAGCTGTCCTTGCAGAAAGACACCTTGCAGGGACTGAGTGGAATCAGTCTCTCATTAATTCTGTATTTTTGTGGTCTTCTCTAGAGAAAAAATGATACAGCCTTTTTTAGGTTCTTGCTTAAAGTCTAGATACTATACCTTTCTCTCTTTGCTGCCTGGAGAATATTATTTATTATTTATAGCAAGTCTGGATTCTGTATATGGATAATACTGATTCTTCGAGTTTTATTCTGGTCACCTTTTTTGTGCATATTTAGCAAATATGTTCAGCTTTTTAAAGTGTTAAAGCCTTTTTCCCTGCCGCTTCCCTGGAACACTCATTTCTTCTGTAAAACTGGAATAGCAGAGGATGTGTCAACCAGTGCCAATCGGCGTCATTACCTGGAGAAAAGGCGTATCAAGCCTAGTATGATAATCTGTGTATGCAATCCACTCCAGGGGTTAAAAATTATTTGCTTACTAGGTTTGATCAGGAGAGGAGAGGGAAGATGTTTTAGAAAGATTTCCAGATTTCTTGGTGCATTCTCATAACGCTACTAACTTCTGCCCAAATAATAATGATAAATCTTGAACCTAAACCTTTTGCACACTATGCCAGTCTGTATTTCAAAAGTATCTTGTGTATTCAGGAATTAAACTTTGCCCTTGACAGTCCCCTGAGAGTTTTCATGCATTTGTTCTTGATGGGCTACCTTGCTTTTTAACTTCTCCAAGGAATCTGAGTTCTGGGCTTGTCACAGAAATTATTTGTCAGATGTTATAAGATAGATAAGAAGAAGTGAATACAATGATGTCTATAATTTCTGAGCTTATAGTGTGATTTGAAACTCTTGAAAACAGAACAAAAATAATATCTTTTTTTCTAGTTTGAAAATCTTGCAAATATACTGAAACTTCCTGGCAAAAAGACATTTAACAATATGGACAGAGAATTTTTGGAAAAGAGGAAAAAAGATTTAAATGCGTATTTGCAGGTAAGCTGTTATGGTTTTTTTGTTGTGGTCTTGGTTAAAATTCTTTTTTCTGAGAAGGAAATTTGATTATGTGTTTTTTGTTCTGAAAAATAATTGTCATGTAGGTGGTATACAGTCTTAAATATTATACTGTAAGGACTTCATATTATCTAAGTTTGCCTTTTCTTTGCTCTTTTGGTTTGTTCTTGGCCAGTTCTGTCACAACTCTGAGCTGGCGAGGTTCCGGCTGGGTTGGTTTTGAGCTCTACACCATTTACTTTCTTCCACCACACTCATGTTTGTGGTTACTTTCTCTGGTGCTGTTGCATAAGGATCGGTGTGGCACCCACTCCAGTGGTGTTGCGAACTGCACAACTTCTCCATTCAGATACAGCCTGTATCAGCCCAACTAAAGGCATTCAGTTGTCTTACTTCATAGGGACTTTCTGGTCATTTAGCACTAAAAAGTGTTGACCAACTCGATTGAAATGTTAACAATAAATAATGAAGATGAATAAAACATTGTGAAATCTGATTATTTTGTTTAGAGTGGGTTTTTTTTTTCCCATTGTGTGAGATATGTGCCCCATTTTTAATAGCAAGATTCTTTTTTAGTCACAGCTATTTTTTCTCTTGGAGTTTTAAAAGCAGTTTGAGTGGTTGTAAAAGTGTGTATTTTTCTGTGAGGTGCGATAATTAACGTACTAGTTAAAATTATGGGAATTACCAAGAATCTTCTTGTTTCCATCATGAGAGTACTGTAATGTTGGAATAAAATTTAGAGAATGAATGAGAAAATACATTGCAGGATGTCTTTGTGCATGGTAAACTACTACTAAACTGAATGATATGGCCGTTTTCATGATTTATTAAAAAGCACCTTTTAAAATTTCTTTTACTCAGCTCTTGTTAAATCCTGAAATGATGAAAGCTTCTCCAGCTTTAGCCCATTATGTGTATGACTTCCTGGAGAATAAAGCCTACAGCAAAGGGAAAGGAGATTTTGCACGGAAGGTAAGAATGTTGTGCACTGTCAAGGGAACTGTACAGCTTTTGTTAGTGTAGTGATTGCATTCAGCAGAGATGTTAAACTGATATTAAACGGCTATTTAGCACTTTCAAAACAACTTGCAAGTGAATTGCTTTAATGCTTTGTGAGTGGCAGAGTATCTGAGTACATATGGAACCAAAAATGTACCGGTTTTGTCAGGTATATTTATTTGTATGACAAGGAAATAAAATTTTTTATTTGGACATGGTGTTTTGCACCAAGTCTACTGTAAAATTGTGTTCATTGCAAGTTACTTTCTGTCAGGCATCTGTATTTTTTTTTTGTAGTCACACTCCTTCTGATTTCTTTTCTCAGTTCTTTACTCTGTTTGCTGCTGTTACCATGCTCTCCACTCTTCAGCCCAAAAGATGAAGTGCATTTCCCTTCAAAAGCAGCTGTTATGTATTTCACCATTATAACCATTAAGAGTCATTGGTCAAATTGGGAACTCTGAGCTGTGCATCCTTTTTCTTAAGCCACCGTAAGCCTCTTCAGACAAGTGATTCTGTGTTCAATGGACCAGTCTGTGTGGGCATCTGCTTTGCAAATAGAGCTATTTCTAAACTTCCTGTGATTTTTATATAAAAAGCATCTGCAAGTGTATTGTCACTTCAAGTTGTTGTTCTACCTATATTCCTTAAATATTTAACAGTGAAACAGTTAAATATTTATCAAGGTTTATGTAATGACTAAGATTTGATTTCCAGCTTATAAGGTTCTTCATAATTTTATTTTTTTAAGGGCATCACACTAGTATTTGTGCCTCTGTTTGAACTGAATTTCGAGTATGTACTGAAAGAAAAATGGGAACAGTTTTTGTTGAACTACTTTGTTTTTAATTATATTTGCCACAACATTAAAGCATATTACTCCAGTGCTGTTTAAGAGAGACACATTTCAAAGATGAAGAGTTGAAAGCAGAAGTGAAAAATCTGGAAGTAGGAAGCTTAGGATTGAGAAATAGCATAGAATGCAGAGGAAAAGGAAAATAAATTCGAGCTAAAAAAGATGAGGAAGGGGAAATGGAAGTGACTCAGGAAAACTCTTGAAGGATGTGCAAATACGTACGATAGCGCTGTAAGGAATGGAATGAGAAATATAAAGTGAATATAATGAGTAATATAAAGTGAAGCTGAAACTTGATTCTGTATTCTGTAATGAAGCTAAGTGATTTGAGTTGTTCTTTCTATTATTGTTCTCTGGAACAAGGTGATACTTCTCATAGTGTATTAATATACTGGTGTCCTCATAGATTATACAATTCTGGTTAAACATCTTCCCCTTCAGATGGACACATTTGTAAACCCACTGCGTAACTCTATGAGAAATGTATCAAATGCAGTCAAGTCTCTCCCTGACAGCCTGGCAGAGGGAATGACTAAAATGTCAGACAACATGGGTAAAATGTCAGAGAGACTGGGACAAGACATAAAGCAATCATTTTTTAAGGTAAGAAAATATTTGGTAGTTAATACATACTAGAAAATTAATAGGAGATTAGCTGTTGACTCACTTAACCTTATGTTGTGTGCACAATGAAGAGTCAAGTCAGTAGATAGGAAAGAAATCTGGTTTGCACCTACACCCTTTTAATAACGTTCAGCAGTCATAATACTACAAACATGGAGTTCTTTTTGCTATCAAGTAACAGATTTTAAGATGACATCTAGGACTACTAAAATGATCCTTTTTCACTTCATTCAATACAGCCACTTGAGAAGAACTATCTTTTATTTTTAACAACCATTCTCATAAAGCTAATTTGCTGCATCTGCTGCTTTCATTAGAAAAAACATGTATCTTTTGAAACTTAGCCTCTTTTCTGTTTATTCCTTGCTGAATTCTGGTTTTAATTAAATTTTCTTTCTGTCTTTCCTGCCGTCTTTCCTTATCTCTTGTATTCCTAAAATGTAATACCTTAGAGGTGGGGAATGGTAGCATGGCATGCTGTCTAGAAGTACTATGAAAGTAGTAATCTTCCTCACACGTCCATCTTACCTCCCTTTCCCTTGCCCCTCTCTTTCTGTTTGGAGCTGTAAGATCTGTGATCAAGGATTGTTCCATTTTGTGTTACCAAAACAGTTACATGGGGTAGATGTAAAACAGCCACTGAGATTAGTTAACCCTTAAACCACGGAAGGGAATAATAAATCTGTGGTGTGTGTAGGGAGGGTTGTGGGGGCTGTTTTATTTGTTTTTTTTAATTATTTGAGACAAAATTACTGTCTCTGGACTTTCTCATTGCTTGTAACTTACCTGGTGTGTGACAAGCAATGTATCTGTAGTTACACTCACTAGGAAGTCTGTGACTAGACAGGACCAGGCAGGACTGGGAAGTCCGTGAATAGGTAGAAAAATACCAGAAAAAAATATCAGTCCTGTATGAATTTCTGTGTTTTTCAGTTGAAGCATTAGACACTCAAGGAAATAGGCATGGTTTGTCTTAAAGGTGTTTATAACGTTGATAGCTATAGGAGAATACCCACAGGCTTGATTTGTTGGAAGATGAAAGAACTGCTGTAGAATTATCTGTGCTAGTATGCAAATCACCAAATGTTTAGTTTTTGTTTTCACAACCAAATTGATGATGAAAATTGGTCTGATTTATTGGTGTTCTAAAGTATTTTTTCCTTCATAAACTTTACATTTTTTCATTGTAGGTGCCTCCTTTGATGCAGAAAACGTATTCAGATCCTGAGCATTGCCGTGTTGCAGCACCAATTGATGACAATGTGAGTCTGATGTTTGTCCTTTCAAAGTTAACTCCTCTAAAACCAAATTAATGAGTTTTTTATCTTATGTTAAACTGTGTTTATTGTTTTCTGGTATTATACCAGGCACTTACAAACAGTTCTCAATTATGTAAAATGAAACTTCTGTGCTTCCTTCTAAAATTAACATCTTTGTTAGCAATAAAATGGTTTGCACAAGAGTGCAATAACTTAGAGTGCACATACTAATGATTCTTTGTTTTGTGGATATGGGGTTGTTTTGGGTTTTTTTTCCCCTCCTTCCTCCTATTTCTCTCTGTTAAAAGATAATATGGTAACAGGCTGTTAGCATAATTTCAATTGACATTTTATGGATTCAGATTTCTGATGTGACCTTTTAGGGGACACTTGTTTAATGCATCAGAGGTAGTGTTTGCTTTGTTTTTACAGGAAAAAAAAATCAGAATGTGTTCCTAAGTAATGAACTTTTAGTATATGAATGTAAAATGTATAAAGTAGTAGTATTAGAAACTTGAAAGTGAAGCTTAAGCTCTTGGTGTTCTCATAAGCTGTGGCATTTTGTTGTTTTGATTGAAATGTTGATCGTATATGTGAAAACAATTGGAAAAAAACTTTTATCTTCCAGTACGACAGAAGGGCTGTAAGATTAGCAGTGATTATATGCAATTTGCTATGGTCATAAATCTGCACCTGTTCTGCCCTTCATGTTTCAGGTTTTTTGGTCACATCAAAGCATTCCAGTTTGTTTTCCTGTGCATAAGTGCTATGGTGGCTCGGTATATGTGGTTTTGTTCAAATGACATAGCCTTGAGTTCTTATGTGTTTTCTTTTTCACCATTATTTTTCACTATATTAGACTGTGTAAGCTTGTAATTATAAGTGTACATCTTTGATACTCCTGAGGCTTCTGTTCTGCACAGGCAAAACAAAATAATATCATTCAAGTATATGAACAGCTTCTTTGCAAATATTTCATTGACATTCTGTAAAATGAATAGAAACTATGATTCTTGGTAGCTTCTGAGTTAACATAACAAGTGTTTTGGAAAGGCAGATTTAAAATGTTTTAAAACCTTTCAACTCTCAACTCCTTTTTTAATATGCATTGTTCACAACTTGCAGTCACTAAATCAGACAAAAAATGTGGCAGTTTGAATGGAATCTTCCATTTTTTGTTTCTTAAATGTGAAGAAGCAGTAATGTAAAAGTCAGGCATAGATCTATAGAATCCCCAGCTGAATTACAAATCCGCTGTCTGTGTTCCAGTTGTGTAGAAGATGTACTTGTGTAGTCCACAGAAAAAAAATAACCATGTAGCTGCGAGAGCTCGCTACTTCTTTCAGCATAGGAATAACAATATAGTGCAAAGTACTACTTTTCCAGGTATAGCTGTACCAGATTTAAAATGCAAAACAAAATTCTGAACATTATGCTTAGAATTTAAAAATCTTAATTAATAAAAGAGGAAAAAAACCCAAACCCAAAACCATCAGAGTAAGTTCATTCAGTTTTTAAGTAAAATTTGCTGCGGATATAGTAAGATTTTAATTTTAGCTTACTATTACAGAAAAGTTTTGATAATAAACAGAAAGTTTAAATAATTAATCAATCAAAAAATCAAATTGATTTGTTGTATTTGAGATAATCTTTAGCGGTCTCTTGTGCAATACAACTGTACCTCCAAATGCTATCTTTTTATGCAGTAGCTTAACAATATGTAGGTTTGTATCTTGGTATATAAACAGGCCTTGAAGCTTCTGTTGTTTCTACAAAAGAATTGCTACTAAGGTGAAAATCTAATACTTCCATACTTCAGAATTTAGTAAACTATCCCTGAGAATTTAATATTTGAATAACTGTTGACAGTCACTGCGAGTGTACACCAACCATCTTTGAAAACTTTTACATAGTTACCGAATCCTCTGTTTTAAGATTTCTATTAGTTGTTACACAAATTGGCTTACAAAAACCATCTTCCGTTAAATCATAAAATGATGATGCTTTTCCTAATCGGCAAGCATAAAAGCCCTTAATAGCTATGCAGATTGGAACAATATCTAAATAAAGGACTTCATTGCAGTGAAGTGTCATTGCTCCTAGGAGGTTTTGAATTTGGCACAGTGCATCCATAAGAAGATGCCAAAGAAAAGCTCCTTCTAGAGTTTTCATGTTAGGCAGTTGGAAGCACAGCTACCAAAGGAAGAGATCAGGGACAGGCTCTCTTTAGGAAATATTTACTTGTATTAATTTTGTTCAACTGTGGTGAATTAACTCTGTTTTTTCCTTATCTTAAAAATTCAATGAATTTACTCCTAGTATATTTTTAAGTTTACTGATTATTCTTTTCCTCACTTGATCAGGTGGATGACAATATTCCGCTGAGAGTAATGCTCCTCCTTATGGATGAAGTCTTTGATTTAAAGGAAAGAAATCAGTGGTTAAGAAGAAATATAAAAAATCTGCTTCAGCAACTTATTAGAGCAACATATGGTGACACAATTAATAGGTACTGCTTTTCTTATATAGAGCCATCATGAGAGTGAGACTATGTAGACTGTGTCTATAAAGCCTATTTGGTATTACTAAATTCTTACGGTATAGATCTGCATGCATTCAGCTTTGAAGAGGATTAATAAACCAAGTACAAATGTGGTGTAAAATGAAGTTAAACATAAAACATTGCTGAAAGACAAATTCCAGTAGCTCTCATATGCCAGAGAGCTTTCACAAGAGCTTTTACATAACTGCAAGAGTTCATGTTTCTGTGAATGTAACTTAATACTGATGGTGTCTGTGCTTTTTGCCCTGTGTTTTACACTAACTACGCTTTCTGTTAGTACTATTTATTACTTTCTGTGCTATTTCTGTTTAGATCTCTTTGATGCCATAAATTATACATTGGCACTATCAAATTATGTGAACTGTACTGAGTTGCTATGTTAAGTTTTTGTTCTTACACTTTAAAAGGTGATATTGAGCTGTGTGTATGTCTTGATAAATGAAAGTCAACATTTATGATCAGTATGTATCTCCTGTTAAAGATTATGAAGTAGCTACATACATAAATATGGCAATTTGAAATTTTAAGTAGGTTCTTTGCTTACTGAAGCAGAACTTGAAGAGCGCTGTATGAAGAGGAGAGCTCTACAAGTAGAACAATTATCTTATGCTTATGGGAGATGCAGCATCAGTTTTCCAGCCTGCCTAGTCATTTCCTCAAAAAAAAAAAAAAAAAAAGGCTTTAGCTTTAGGAGGGATCAGTGAGCTTAAATTTTTATCTTGAGAATCAGCGTTTGCCTTCCTAGTGTGAATTTTATATAAACTGCTTATGGAGTAGGAGAAAGCTGAAATTATACTTTGTTTGCCCTAGAGTGCTCTTTAAAATGCTATACTTATCTGTTCTGTTTTAAAAAATTAAATGAGACACTTGTTGCTTTGCTTTTAGAAAAATAGTTGATCATGTCGACTGGATGACATCTCCTGAGCAAGTAGCAGATGCGGTGAAACGCTTCAGGTATGTCTTTTACCGTAGATGTTAAATATGTAGTACTTGCCAAGTGATGTCTATTATCTGTGTATCCTTCCTAATCTTTTCATATGAGGAAATCACTATTACAATACAGAGTTCCAGTCGGAACATACACTGTTTTTTATGTGTGTTAAGTGAGACAAAGTAATAGTCACATGAAGAAGAAAATTTTTGAGTCTTCTCCTCTTCCTTAAGAAGTTCTTTGTTATCCAGTCTAGAAGAACTAGAGTATGGGTATACTTACAAATTTCATCATAGTACTAGATGAAGTGTCTTGTTTATGTTGATGAAGGCATGTGCATGCCTTGCCTTAAAAGGCAAACAATTATTACTAAAAAACCCTAGCTCCAAGCTAATGCTTCATGTGTGGGTTGATACTTTCAAACTTGGGCTTCAGTTCTGTTGTATCAAAGGCTCTGTCATTCCATTTCCTAAAAGTCTTAATGGCTTCTGCAATATTTCTGCGCAAAAGCACCCCCCTTTCTTTTTTTTTTTTTTTTTTTGGATGGAGTGAAAGAGAGAAAGTAGGGTATATTCTGTTACTCTTTAATAAAACTGGGTAAGAATGTGCACTTTTTGCTCAGAAAAAGGATGTCATTCACTGAGGCAAAATAACTTTTTAGACAGAGCTCTGTCTTGGATTGGGCTTTATACTAAAATGAAACTTTTTCATCTTGGCTTTAGCCTGTTGAAAGCTTAACTACTGTCAGATATCTAATGAAGCAATCAATAGACCTAAGCCACACTTTTTTTACTCTGTGGCAATAGAGACTGATTGGTAAAAGTAAATCTTAGATATATTGTATGTAACAACCTTGTGGTATTTGAATGGTTTTGGTGTGTAGTATTTTCTTAAAATTTTCTTTCATCTGATTCTTATACTAAAAAAGTATACAGTAGCTACTAATTGGTTGAGTGTATTGTACTTCTTGCTTTTGATTTCTTTACTGCCTTTTTTCTAGTACTTGAAGTGTGTGTTAGGTTGTGTGTAAATTAACTTTCTTGTATTTATTTTATGAAGTGGCTTTAAGGGATTAAAAAGAGCCTTTCACGTGATAAAATTTTAATGTATTTTGACAGATTTGCTTTTGTTACAGAGATGCTTTTTGGCCCAATGGCATTTTAGCAGAGACTGTTCCTCGGAGGGACAAAGCTATTAGAATGAGAACAAGAGTGGCAGGGAAGACCAAATTACTGGAGGTCATGCCAGGTAAGTGAGTCTGGGATGGTAGCCAAATAATCCTTGCCATATAATGTTACTGGAATGAATGTCAGTATTCTTGTTGACTGTTGAAATGTTGACATATGAACTGTATTTAAATGCAAGGGTTTAAAATTATTAAAGCACTGAACATTTTCACATGTACTGTGACTTTGTAATTCTTCTTAGAACGAGCTCATTATTTAGTGTCACCAGAGGATTTAAGTTTAGTGCATGAAATACCAATATTCCAATAAAGAATGATTTCCTATAAAATAACATGATTCCACACATATAGTGTGAAAGTGAAGTAATTTTCAGAAAATCTTTCCGCTGTAAGAGAACTTTTAGTTCAGTCATACTATGTATAAGAGGCACTCCAAGCTATGTAATTTGAATGACTTAATATTCAGTTTGTTTGTTTATGCAGAAGCAGAATTTAGCTTAAACTTCAGTGTAACTTTCATTTTTGTAGATGAACTGAAGCACATCATAGGCGCTGAGACAACACGGAAAGGCATTCTTCGGGTCTTCGAAATGTTCCAGCACACTCAACTGAATAAGAGGATGGTGTACGTGTTTCTAGAGAGATTTCTGGAAACCTTATTTCCACAAAATAAGTTCCATGAGCTCTTCAACAAACTGCATTCGCGGTCAAAGCAGATGCAGAGGTATAAGCAGAGACTACATTCTACTCAAGCGCCTTCCTTACAGAAAAGGTGACACTTCAAACCTGTTAAGCTGGTGTGTGTTTGTCCAGGACTAATTACTTGGGCAGATTCTCTGGGGCTTCAAACTCACATGCCGTTATTTCTGCACCAGTCTTCTAGTGTCACATATTAGATTATTAATGCATCTGTAAGACCTGTGGATCTTCTCATCTTCACTTGTAATTCAACCACTACTAGAAGGGTTTGTGTGTCTTAAATGATTTGGTGCGTTTTCATGCAACATTGAGAAGAATACTGGCCCAATATATAAGAATGCTGATTCTTTCCGTTCCTGAGTCGATGTTTTGCCAGCAATGAAAAGTGCCAGACTGTTCAAGTAAAGCACAACTGTGGTGATACAGTGGAAGAAAAGGATGTTTTGGCGCTGGGAGATAGTGCAATGTGTGAGAATCAGGTGGAATTGTTCTACATTATGACTGCTGAGGCTCTGTAGGGCGCTTTCAACATTCCTGTAAAGGCCAAGCTGACAGGAGAAGCAGTCTCTGGAGTAGCAGGTTCATAGGAAAGGGGAGAAATAGTTATAGTCCCATCATAAAAGTACATTTATTAAATAAAAGTTGAGGTAATGTGACTTTTATGCCACATTAACTTCACCTTTCATGTTTTGAAAAGTAAACTAACATTAGATCTGATGGGAATTTTAGTAAAGGCAGAGGTGCAGTAGAAATAAACCCTTTATTCTGAATACTCTGTAGCTTTAAGGGCCATATTCTGCTCTTATAGCACCTGGCATACATTTTTCATGTAACTTCAGTGGAGAAAGGGCATCTTAATTATGTTCAATTGGCCTATTTGAACATATGTCAAATTAACAGTTGGAGAAGGAAGGGGGTACATGTTTCAGAGAGGATAGACATCATGTTGGAATATGAGGAAATTGCACTAAGACACAGTTTACACACAACTCCCCGCTAAAATCTGAAACTTGTTTTGAGTGTAAAAGATGGATGTCCTACTTTAATTGAAAGATTCCTTACCTTTTAGCGTGTAAGCCTCATTTGGAAAAATGTTAGAATAAGTTGGTTTCTCACAGGTAAAAGATTTCATTAGTCATATGCAAACACTTGGAAATGCCTGAACGCATCTCAGTGTATATATGAAAATAAAAAAGGAGATAAAACTACAATATTTTTTTAAATAATTTTTTTATTTTTTGCATAGTGTAAAATTTTAATAAGAATTTGACATCAAGGCCCCACACCCATCTGTTTAGTTTCATTGAAGAATTTCTGTCCAATTAAAAATAAAGTAACAACTGAATAATCCTGTTTGGCCACAGCATATCTCATTTTGTGTTTTCTTTTCCATAGTTTCCTAATGTTTGAGCACCGCTATCCAAGTGAATAAAAGTAATCCTGTAGAGTCTGTTGTTTTTTTTTCTGAATGCTAAACACAGGGTAAGATACAGCTATTGATCAAGGATCCTTACAGTAATTTGTGTCTTAATGGGAACAAATGATCCTTTTATCGGAGGGAGAAACATAGACCTTTTATGAAAGCGTTCTAAGAGAAGACAGAAGGCTCTCAAAGGACCTAGTTAAATTGACTGAAGCCTCTATATAGATCATTTTTTCTCATGGACTATTAATGCAGTGTAGCCTTTTATCATACTACTTAATGATGATCATATTGTACTGTTAACATTCTCATACAGTATGCATGGGCTCAAGTGCACTTGGTTGTTTTTTTTTCTTTATTGCAGAACTAAATACTGTAAATGAAATCCCTTTCTTTTATAATCCCTAGGAAGACAGGGAACCCTTCCCCCTTCCTCTCTGCAGATTCTGTAGAAGCGTGATGATTAAGTGCTGTTGAATTTAACAAAATTCTTGAGTTCTGTGTGAAGTAATCAACATAACCAGCTCCTGTTGTTTACACGCCTGTATCTTCCTCCAGCGTCAGGGTGCTTAAGCATACCCGACATCTGACTGATGAGAGATCAGTCAGCAATTGTTTGTGGTGATATAGTAAATATATCATTGATCCTACCAAATTTAACTTGTCTTTCAAATCACTGAATTTGTTACGCAGTTTGAAAGTGGGAAGTTCAAATACTGTTTTGTCAAATCTGTGGAACCTTTTATCTATCTATAGGTACCATGAAAAATTACAAGAGAATAGTGATCAAATTTGGGATTTTTTTTTAATTATCTGGTGCATTTCTGTATAAAAATAATATCTCTAGGAATGTGAACTGAAAATACGCCATGTATATTAGTTGTTTTACTTAACGAATTTATTACATGTATACCTATACACACATTTATATACGTGTGTGCATATGTGTATATGTATTGAACTTTTGTCTTCTGTATTTAATTACAGAATGTGGCTTCCTAATTCAGTGGTGCCTGTTGGCTGGCAAGAATCACCAGAAATGTATATGTTTTGTTAAAGAGTTTGTATGTATCTTTATTTAAATGGTTTTCCTGTTGACGATTTAAAATACCTGCCCTGTCAACCCATGCAGCCTATTATTCTAGGAAGTCTCCAAAACTGAATGTTAATATACAGCACTTAAGTGTCTGGGTGTATCTTCTAGCCTTTGGGTGCTGTGACTGGCTGCTGAAAATTGTGCCATTGTTAACAAATACACTTGTTTTAGCCTTAATTATTTTTAAAAGAAAATGAGCAATTCAATTTATCACTTGGTTCATCCTCAAGCTTGTGCTGCTGGTGTTTGCTAGAACTAAACAGTAAATTTTAAGTGCTACCAGAATGTGTACCAAAATAAAAATACATGAATTCCACAATCTAAATTTTAATTTTGTGCAATATTTTCATTTAATGCATGTGTATTTGAATAACTGTAAAATAAATGAATTTTTAATGTTTTGAAGTCTAGGCTAAAAATGTCTTCTCAGCTGAACACTTTTGCATTCTGTTGTTGCATTAGTTTATTTAAGGACTTGTTTTAAAAGTCTTATTTGTTACTCCTTTGTTAATTCCCTTGTTCTCAGTGATCCTTGCTCGTCTGAGCAAAGCTCACATATTACAAGGGAAGAATCGAAAGAGCACATCTCATGAATATAGCTGTTATAAATTACTTGTGCATATCATTGTACAGTAAGTGTCAGCTGTGTGCCTAACTGTTCTATCGATGCTTTTTCCCTCCCTTCCCCTCCTCTCGTTTCCGTAACAAAGAATGAAGATGGAACAGGCTGCCATGGTCACTTCTGAATGGCAGAGGACTCTGAATTTTTTTTTTTTTTGGAGTTTGCATTTATGTTCTGTCCAATAGAAAGCTAAAAAAATACACTAATAAAGTATTAACAGGATTATTATGAGTCTCTGTTTATTTTTAAAAAGAACTTTCTCAATAGCAGGTACAAATGTTCCTTAAGTCAAAAAAAAATCACTAGAGATAAAAATACTGCTGTTAAATCCTGTTTAAATAAAACAGTCATTCCTTGTTTTTTAAACAGTTTATAAACTGATTTCACTTTTATCAAATTTATCTCTACGTTCATTTTCAACCAGTATTTGCAGAGAGTCTTGTATGTTAAAAGGGCATATGCAGAAACACTGGGCTTGTATGGTATAGGAGTTTTTAATGTTGAGTTTTTTTTACTCTAGCTTTTTCCCCTGGGTTTATTTTTGCAGCAGCTGGATCTACCATGGGAGCACAATTGTTACCCTTGATATATTTATTCCAGCTGTTTCACATTCATCAAAAAGATGTTCTGAGCTGCAGAGATGTTAGTGCTTTGGCCCTAGGGTAAAGGGTTTACTGTTTTCACTAACTTACATGGTTTTGCTCCAGGATACAGACACACCTCGGGAATTTCAATAGCTGATTGCAAGTTCTTATTTGATGAAGCTGTTAGCCTAGAATAATTTCATGGCAAGAAATTAACACCATTATAAACTTTTTAAAAAGTTTTTAAAATATCTGCCATTTGATAAGTGAAGGTAATATGTGTCTGCAATTTATTTAACTCTCCAGTCTATCACATTATCTGGTTTATGTTGGTTTTGATGTCTAGTGGATGTGTGAGGATTGCTGAAGTTTTTGTCAAGTTCAGTAGTCAGCATCACTCTGCATTGAATTACATAGCTACACATTTCATTATTTCTCTTGAAAGGAAGGAAATTGAATAATGAGAACAGTGAGTTAACTTTTGTGAAATATTGCAAAAGAAAGTTTGTTTTCATTAAACACTTGAAACATCTATGCCACTGCAGTTTCCACCTCGTGCACATGCAAATATGTTGGAGTACTTTTGTATTCAAATACCTCAAATAACTGTTTTCCATGCCGCATCTCTTTGAATTACTATGGCATGTTGGAGTTGGGACAGGCTGCATGGGTCAGATAAATTGTTTGATATCTGGTTCAGAAAGGGCTAACTGGCATTCTCATTCGACATTTTAGAATCAGAAGAGTACATGAATTAATTATGAGGTTGGGCTTAAGTTGAGAACTGGATTCTATTGAATTTGTTGGCAATCAAGAGAAGTAAGGAATGTAGCTTTCAAAAACAGACCTGGTCTTTATTATCATAAAGAATTTTACAAACAAGTCTGGAGCAGTCTTTTGAGTCTGTCCTCTGAGTTTTCTCAGCTTGAGGTCTAGAAATATGCTAATTCTGAATTAAGAGAGAATGATGGAATTTTCTGTTACCAACTTAATGGAGTTTTAGGTAAGAGATTCTGATAAAACTGTGAGAATTGGGAGTGCTCTTGTTTGGAACACATGGAAGATGGTTGTGCAAGTTACTTCTTGTTCCATGCACAGAAAGCCAGAACTTGAAAGAAACTTCTACTTTTTTAGTTCTTAAAATAGCCAGCCAGTACTAGGATGGGTACAAAACTTCCTTTGCACAAGTCATCTCATATGAGCAAGCAAGAGGTTAGAATTTGACTATCAAAGACAGTGTTTTCCTTTTTGTTTTCAAGGACTTAATACAAAACATTCCTTTATAATCTATGTAAAAACCCAGGAGGTATTTTGGGGAGAAAAGTATTGGGTAATTATATCTGAGTAAAGTGAAACTGGAATGTGATGCAATTTGGAATTCACCAGTTTTGCTGACTTCATGCAGTGTCATGTAATGGAAACATGGGTCCAAGGTTCTCCTGTATATCAAATATAGAAGGAAAATTAAGATACATTTCTTATTTGTTTTCAGTAGTACTGATATTACCAAGAATGTAGTCTAAGGAGTGTGTCTTCTTGAGCTGTAAGAAGTGTAGCGATACTCAGTAGACAACTGTTTGTGTAATTGGACTTTTTTGGCTTTGACAGTATTGGAGACAGGAGTAAAATTCATAGATGAGGC